CCCCCCCGCCCCACAGATCAACGGACAGGCTTCGCGCAGCCTGTCCGCTTCTCCCAGAGCTTCTCGGGGCTGCGGGGGAAGCCCGGGTTCCCCCCCCAAGCCCCAAAGAGCAAAGAAGCCAAGACAGCGAGCGGGATCCATAGCCGCGCAACCTCTCCAGCCAGGAGCTAAACCTCTCCAGCGCGGCTAAAGAAGAAGGCAAGGCAGCAAGCGCGATCCACCCCGCTCGCTGCCTTGGCTTCCTCTTTAGCCTTGTGCAACAGGATGGATCGCACCCACTGTCCACCGGGGCTGGACTAGATGACTCCTGGGGTTCCCTTCCAACCCTGCAATTCTATGACCTCAGAAGGTGTTGGGGGTCTCCACCACTGGAGGCTTTTAAAAAAAATTTTTAAATGATATTTATTGAGAATTTCAAGATTACAAAGAAACAAAGAAAATAAGAAGGAGAAGACAAGTAACAATTAAATGATACAAATCGATAAAAATCAAAGTCAAAAAGAAAAAGAAAAACACATAATATATCAAAATCAAAAAGCAAAAATAAACAAAAAATTTAAAAACAGATCCAATATTCCCAAATCCTTAACTGTCATTACCTTATTTCATCGACCTCCTCGCACCTCCCTCCTCTGTATTCCAGTTATTAACCATCTCAGCAAATCCTTTCCATCTTTCATAATAATCTGTCATTAAATTACCTTAATCTATTTTAACCTTATCTTACCATAAAAAACCCTAAAACTTAAGACTTAAATCTTATTTATACCAATTTCTCATAACCATAACATATTCTTACATAATTCTTTTTAACATTTCTGCTAAAGCCAAATAATTTCGTTCCAACATTTTTCTAATACTCATTAATTTTACAAAACTTTCCTAAATAAATTTTTTAAAACTTTATTCCAGTCTTCATCCAACGTCTCTTCCTCCTGGTCTCGGGTTTTGTCAGTCCTTTCTATCCCATCCATCTAGTTCATCAACCCGGTAACCTTATGTCCAAGGATCTTAAATCTCTTCCATGTCCCTTCCGCAGATCTTCTTCATATTTATACCTGTACTTTACTTTCTCTTCTGCTCCTTTCACTCGTGGAGACTCCAGCTTGACAATATTTTTGTCCCTTCTCGACAGATCAGCCCCTTTTCCATAGTCAACACTGAACTCCATGCGGTATTTAAAAGCATGTTTCAAGGTCTCTCCAAAGTTAAGGGCCCCCACAACTCCGAACTCCTCCCGGCCCAAAGCCAGACTTGAAAGGTCAAAACATCCCTGCATAGGGGGGTCTATCCAGCCCCACATCTCCAAGCCAAACAAGACTCTATCTCTCCAAATCTGGCTTTTTCCAGGTTCATTCGTCAAATCCATCAACTCATGTTCCTGCTGGGCCACAGTTCCCTCCATCTCTGCCTCCCGAGGTCCAGCAACAACCTCCTCCCTCATCTGATCTGTCAGAGCACACTCCTGAATTAATTCCTGAGTGGGTTCTATATAGGTACCCACTGCGTGTCCAAAATTTCCGATCGCAACAGTCATCAAATCCGTCTTCTCATGTAACTGTTCCAATAAAGCACTTGTCTTGCAGAAGGCAAGCACCAGAGCCTCCGAATACATTCTTGTACAAGGTCAGAGTCTGGTCCCACGATCTTAATCTATTGCAGCTGCAAAGCTCCCCAGTTCAGATTTAATAACAGTTTCGCAAGCTCCCTCTAGGGGAAAAAGCTTCTATTTGTATCCATCTCTCTCTTTTTTTTAAAAAAAAAAGCAGATCTAACAACAAAGTTTCCTTTTTCAGATATTTTGTCAATATTTTGTTCCTTTTAGATGCGAAGGGGAACAATGGAATCAATATGTTTCTCTTCTTTTAACTATCTGTCAAAAACGTTTGTCTATAGTCAATGAACTTCCCGAAGACGTCTGTCCTGACACCCCGCTCCCAGGTTCAAGACGGTGGAAAATTGCTTTTCTTTACTGTCGCTTCTGCAGGTTTAAACAGTTCAGAAAAAGTTCCCCCCTCTTCTCCTGCTTCCAAGGGGGGTTCAGTAATTTTAAGTGATGGAAATTGATCCTTTACAGACAACTTTCTAAACTCTAGCTTGCCGTGTCTTTGCTTTAATCTATCTACAAAAGCGGAAGGTGGACTTCCTGTTTAGACCTTCCCGCTTCAGTGCCAAATTAAAAGAAATTTCTTAATCCAATTTTCCGTTCTACTCACGGGCAGTTATTTAAAATCCAATTGTCCACAGGAAAAAGTCAGCACTCTCCGGCAACCGCAATGCGGCTTCACTCCATGAAAGAAGCAGTCGATTCAAAGCACCACGCCACTCACCCCCACGTCGCTCCGGATCCCCAAAACCGGGGTTCCCCACGAGTAAGGGGGGCGCAAAGGTGCCAGCCGAATCCCACATCCACAGGCTTCTCCCGCCTGTGGTTTTTGATGGGTCTCCGCCTCGCCGTGGCGGTTCAGACCCTTTTTTCCACGGAGCGGATTCCTTCCGATCGGAGGAAATCCGCCATTGCCAGAGGCGCCAACCCGGAAGACCCACCACTGGAGGCTTTTAAACAGCGGTTGGGGGACCATCTGCCTGGCGTTCTTTAGCTGTGATTCCTATATTGTGAGGGGGCTGGGCTAGATGACCCTCGGGTGGCCCTCCCAACTCTATACAGTCCTATAGTTCTGCAGCAGGAGATCCACAGCCACTTCACACAATGCCCACTCCCAATTTTCATCGGAGAGACATGTGGCTTCAGTGTCTAGGTAGGTACCCCCCTACCTGCCACACTTCCCCCACCCCACTTAAGCTGAGGGAATTCCTGCCCAGAGAAGCTCCCAGGTGAGGCAAGGGTTAAGATCTACCTCTGGTGGATCACGCTCCCTGCTCTGGCTTCCTCTTTAGCCTTGCGCAGCCTCCCGCGGCTTTTCCTGCCTGCCTCCCCCCTGCATTCGCTCCATAGGATGCACAGGCTTTTCTCCTTAGTTTTTAAGATGGAAAAAGTGCATCCTATGGTGCGAAAAGTACGGTATATTTTTGCTAATTAACCCAGGGTCAAATACCACCTATACATCATTTTCATGTAGTTTTCCTTCAGTAAAGTACATGCAGAAAATTTCAAAACAACAACAACAGCAACAACAACAACAACAAAAATAATTTATTATTTATACCCCGCTCATCTGGCTGGGTTTCCCCATCCCTTTGTGTGGCTTCCAACAGAATATTAAAATACAATAATCTATTAAACATTAAGGGACGCGGGTGGCGCTGTGGGTAAAACCTCAGTGCCTAGGACTTGCTGATCGTAAGGTCGGCGGTTCAAATCCCCGCGACGGGGTGAGCTCCCGTCATTCGGTCCTAGCTCCTGCCCACGTAGCAGTTCGAAAGCACCCCTAAGTGCAAGTAGATCAATAGGGACCACTTACCTAGCGAGAAGGTAAACGGCGTTTCCGTGTGCGGTGCTGGTGCTGGCTCGCCAGTGCAGCTTCGTCACGCTGGCCACGTGACCTGGAAGTGTCTTCGGACAGCGCCGGCTCCCGGGTCTAGAGCGAGATGAGCGCGCAACCCTAGAGTCGGTCACAACTGGCCCGTACGGGCAGGGGTACCTTTACCTTTACCTTTATTAAACATTAAAAGCTTCCCTAAACAGGGCTGCCTTCAGATGTCTTCTAAAAGTCTGGTGCTAGTTTTTCTCTTTGACATCTGGTGGTAGAGCATTCCACAGGGCAGGAGCCACTACCGAGGCCCTCTGCCTGGTTCCCTGTAACTTGGCTTCTCGCAGGGAGGGAACTGCCAGAAGGACACTGGACCTCAGTGTCTGGGCAGAACGATGTGGGTGGAGACGCTCCTTCAGGTATACTGGGCCGAGGCCGTTTAGGGCTTTAAAAGTCAGCACCAACACTTTGAATTGTGTTTGGAAACGTACTGGGAGCCAGTGTAGGTCTTTCAAGACCGGTGTTATGTGGTCTCAGCGGCCTAACTTCCAAATCTAACTTCCAAAGCCTTTCCCCGTCCGTCATTAATTTATTATGTCCCACATCCTTCGCCCATTTTATCATAACGCATTTGACCTGCTCCTCTTTAGTGTCCCATTCCAAAAGCAGATCGTTCATTTTTGACAGCAGTTTTGTACTACTTTCTACTATTTCTCTCTGAAATCTTGACACTTGATAACTAAATTGTTTCTTTTTATGATTTTTAAAAGTTTTATTTAGTTGTAAATATTGTAACCAGTCTATTACATTTTCTCTTACTTCTTCAAAGTCCTTTAATTTTAATTGATTGTCAGTTTCTGTTAACAGCTCTTTATATGTTGGCCAGTTTATCTTCATATTTACTTTTTTCAAAGATACTGCTTCTAATGGGGAAAGTCACCATGCTGTTTTCTTTTGAAATAAATCTTTATATTTCCCTCCAAACTTTAAGAATCGAGTTTCTTTTTATGACTATGAAAACTTTTATGAACCTTTGCCTTATGATACCATAGATAAGCATGCCTGGCATTGCGTCTTCAGGCTTGGGGACAAGATGGTGACTGGTTTTTCCACCAAGTTCTTTCCATTAGCCCCATTTAGTTCAATGGGATCTATTCTCAGGTCTCTACTGTGCAGACCATGCCGGTCTTATGAAGAGGGGAGAGGAGTAAACAGAGGAAATTGGAACCACTGGAAAGGTTTATAAATGGGGTTTCTGTTGGGAAGGGGCTGCCCCATTTGTGGTTTTCCAGGGGCAGGAGAATCCAGTGAGAGCCAGTGTGGTGTAGTGGTTAAGAGGGGTAGACTCGTAATCTGGTGAACCGGGTTCGCGTCTCCACTCCTCCACATGCAGCTGCTGGGTGACCTCGGGCTAGTCACACTTCTCTAAAGTCTCTCAGCCCCACTCACCTCACAGAGTGTTTGTTCTGGGGGAGGAAGGCAAGGAGAATGTTAGCCGCTTTGAGACTCCTTAGGGTAGTGATAAAGCGGGATATCAAATCCAAACTCTTCTTCTCTTCTTCTCTGCAGGGTCTTTGAGGCTCCCTTTGCTTCTTCCTCTCTCCCAGGACCCTGCAGCTTGTTTTGGCTCCTTGACTCTTCAGGAAGGATGAAAGAGATGGATCCTGCAAAGCTAGCGGGGATGGAAGGGGGAAGATGGACGGTTGACCTGGTCAGGTTGTCTCCTGCGTCCCTCCTCACAACCTCTGAGCGTTTCTCTCTAGGGCTCTCAGAGAGATCTGGTGAGTTCCAGGGGAGGGGAGATGGGGACATGGAGGGATGGAGCCAGAGAGGTATTGGGGCTTGCTCAGCCTGGGGGTGGGGGGAGGCAGGCAGGCGGAGATTGAGAAGGTGAGCACCTTTTTGGGCTCCACCACCTGCCTGCCTGCGCCTTTGTCGTCTGCAGGGAATTTCAGCTAGAAATACATCACAGCTCCCCGGCCACCACGATGCATTGGCAGCTCAAAAGGTCTAATACCAGTGCTGTGATCTGAATACCCTACCAATGTCAAAAAACTTACCGCTCTATCACACAGCAGTAGAAGCAACGACTCTTTAAAGTAATGTGATGCTGCTTTGCAGTTTGAATGCAGATGGGGCCTATGCTTTGTGTCGCCCTTTTCTTTTCTTTTTGGAATAACTTTTTATTTCCTTTTAAAAACAAGGAACATATGAATAATAAAGGACACAAACATGTAGACCAGGTCGTCTCATGCCATTTGTATATCTCAAAACTAGCAGAATAAATTTGCAGGAATGGCTATAACATATGGTTCATCATTAATGGTCAGTGTATGAGTTCTGGGTTCATGAATTGGTTTAAACTGGAAAACAAAAACGGGAAGCAGGAGAGAACAGAGAGCATTCAACATCACATAGCTGGTTGTCTATTCAGGAGCTCTTCGTGGTTGTTGTACTTAGATTAAGATTAAGGAGAGCCAGTGTGGCGCAGTGGTTAAGAGCGGTGGACTCGTAATCTGGTGAACCGGGTTCGCATGTTCACTCCTCCACATGCAGCTGCTATTAATGTTAGTTTCTGAGGTAAAACATGTCATTTTACAACTGTGCACCTGTCCTTCTGGATTATTCGTGGTTTTCTGGATTTTGTGGGACCCAAACCCATTTTCTGTGGTATTTATATGTGTGGAGGTTGTCCCGGGTTGTTTGACCCTTGAAAAACAAAGTTTTTTTTTCTTCTAGAAAAGACACCACAAGATTCTCTGTTTAGAGTTTAAACGGAACACATTACATTACTTGATATACTAAAAGACGTTTGCATGTGCTTGTATCTAATATATCTATATCTATTATGTATTGATTTTGATTATTTCTACATTTATTCCATTTTTTATTCAAGACAATAAGCTCAAAAAACCAAAATAATTCAACATCAAATAATTCTGCTACATGAGGTATGAAGAGGGAATTACAAGTGCTTCTATCTATATGAGACGTTACATAGCAGCATAAAACAGGCAGCAGGTGCTCTCACAGAAAACCTCTCTCTCACTCGACAGTTGAGAACAGACCTAACTGAAAAAACGGCCTTCTGGAGTGACAGTCACCCTTTCCATAGCAACTTGGAGGCAACATTCACACACAGAGTTGTTAGGGAAGTTGAGGTAATTTCTGTCAGGTTTGGGTTTCTGTTTTCGCCTCTGCCCGTTTTTTAAAGAGAAGACCAATGTTAGAGTTGGAGTTGATTTCATGATTGTGGCAACAAAAATCCGTCCTAGAAAACAGCCAGACTTTCTGAACCTCTGCTTCTCAAAAATACTCTGTGAATGCTGGTCGACAAAGACCATGACCTCTGTAGGAAGACCTCACATCTTCTGTTCCTCCTCTTTGACAAATTTTCATTAGCATTGTTCAATAATTGGGGGGTCCATTTCTTCCTGAGGATCTAATTAGTTTCTGTCTTTGTTGTAGGTGGTGATGAATTGGAAATGAAGAATGGGGGAGATCATGACAAAGTCCACACAGTGGAGAAGCCAAATCAAAATTGGGAGTATGGAGAGAGCTCCGGTCAGAGTTCCCGTTCCCACCAAAGAACTCACAGTGGGAAGAAAGGCTATCAGTGCTCAGAATGTGGGAAGAGCTTCATTCGGAAGGACAATCTCACTTTGCATCAAAGAATTCATACTGGAGAGAAACCCCATCAGTGCTTGGAATGTGGAAAGAGGTTTCGTCAGAGTGGGGCTCTCACTTCCCACAAAAGAATTCATACTGGAGAGAAACCCTATCAGTGCTTGGAATGTGGAAAGAGCTTCAGTCACAGCAACAGTCTCACTTCCCACCAAAGAATTCATACAGGGGAGAAACCCTATCAGTGCTCAGAATGTGGGAAGAGCTTCAGTCGGAAGGACAAACTCACTTTGCATCAAATAATTCATACTGGAGAGAAACCCTATCAGTGCTTGGAATGTGGAAAGAGCTTTTGTCAGAGTGGGGTTCTCACTTCCCACAAAAGAATTCATACTGGAGAGAAACCCTATCAGTGCTTGGAATGTGGAAAGAGCTTCAGTCACAGCCACAGTCTCACTTCCCACCAAAGAATTCATACAGGGGAGAAACCCTATCAGTGCTTGGAATGTGGAAATAGCTTCAGTCAGAGGAGCAGTCTCGCTTCCCATCAAAGAATTCATACAGGGGTGAAACCCCATCAGTGCTTGGAATGTGGAAATAGCTTCAGTCAGAGCAGCAGTCTCACTTCCCATCAAATAATTCATACAGGGGTGAAACCCTACCAGTGCTTAGAATGTGGAAAAAACTTCACTCAGAGCAGCAGTCTCGCTTCCCATCAAAGAATTCATACAGGGGTGAAATCCTATCAGTGCTTAGAATGTGGAAAGAGCTTCAGTCACAGACAGAGTCTCACTTCCCATCAAATAATTCATACAGGGGTGAAACCCTATCAGTGCTTGGAATGTGGAAAGAACTTCAGTCACAGCCACAATCTCGCTTCCCATCAAAGAATCCATACAGGGGAGAAACCATATCAGTGCTTGGAATGTGGAAAGAATTTTCGTCTGAGTGGGGATCTCACTTCCCATCAAAAAATTCATACAGGGGAGAAACCCTATCAGTGCTTGGAATGTGGAAAGCGCTTCAGTCACAGCAGCAGTCTCACTTTCCATCACAGAATTCATACAGGGGAGAAACCCTATCAGTGCTTGGAATGTGGAAAGAGCTTCAGTAGGAGCACCCATCTCACTTCCCATGAAAGAATTCATACAGGGGAGAAACCATATCAGTGCTTGGAATGTGGGAAGAGCTTCAGAAAGAGGGCAAGTCTCAACCGCCATCAAAGAACTCATACAGTGGTACCTTAGGTTAAGAACTTAATTTGTTCTGGAGGTCCATTCTTAACCTGAAACTGTTCTTAACCTGAAGCACCACTTTAGCTAACGGGGCCTCACACTGCTGCCTCGTGATTTCTGTTCTTAATCCGAGGTACTATTTCTGGGTTAGCGGAGTCTGTAACCTGAAGCGTCTGTAACCTGAGGTACCACTGTACAGGGCATGAAGTGTTTTAGAAATGTGGACACAGCTTCTCTTCCAAGAGAAGTCTAGCTTCCCATGAAGAAATTCATGTGATTGAGCATGTGGTTGCTGAAGAACTCCAGGCATGCCTGGAGGATGGGGACCATTTGGATCCCTTCCAATCGGGAATCAGGCCTCATATTGGGACTGAAACTGCCTTGGTTGTGCTGGTCGATGATCTCCGGCACCCTAGGGACAAAGGTGAAAGCTGTTTCCTGGTTCTGCTGGAGCTCTCAGTGGCCTTTGATACCATCGACCACGACATCCTTCTTGACCGTCTAGAGGAGCTGGGAGCTGAGGGTTATACAGTGGTTCCACTCCTTCCTCCTGGGCCGTGTTCAGAAAGTGGTGGTGGGGGATCATTGTTCAGACCCCTGGGCTCTCACTTGTGGGGTGCCTCAGGGTTCCATCCTCTCCCCCATTCTTTTTAACATCTACATGAAGCTGCTGGGAGAGATCATCAGAGGGTTTGGGCTGGGTGTTCATCAGTATGCGGATGATATCCTGCTCTAACTCTCTTTTAAATCGGAACCAGTGAAAGCGCTGAAGGTCCTGTGTGAGTGTCTGGAGGCGGTTGGAGGATGCATGGCAGGTGACTGATTGAGGTTGAATCCTGACAAGACAGAAGTGATGTTCTTGGGTGACAGGGGGCGGGCTGGTGTTGAGGACTCACTTGGGCTACTGCAACACATTCTATGTGGGGCTACCTTTGAAGGTGACCTGGAAACTACAACTAATCCAGAATGCGGTGACTGGGAGTAGCTGCTGAAACCACATAACACCGGTTCAGAAAGACCTACATTGGCTCCCAGTATGTTTCTGGACAGAATTCAAAGTATTGGTGCTCACCTTTAAAGCCCTTAACAGCCTCGGCCCAGTATACCTGAAGGAGTGTCTCCACCCCCATCCTTCTGTCTGCACACTGAGGTCCAACTCCCAGGGTTTTCTGCTGGCTCCCTCACTGCGGGAAGTGAAGTTACAGGGCATTCTCAGTAGTTTCACCAGCCCTGTGGAATGCTCTCCTACCAGATGTTAAAGAAATAAACAACTATCTGACTTTGAGAATACATCTCAAGGGAGCCCTGTTTAGGGAAGCTTTTAATATGTGATGAATTATTGTATTTTAATATTTTGCTGGAAGCCACCCAGAGTGGTTGGAGAAACCGAGCCAGACGGACGGGGTATAAATCAATTATTGTTATTGTTTTAAGGACTTTCCCATGCAATATGGGAATCCACATCCATCTGAAGTTCAGGAGCAGTTGGACAATCCCCAGATTCTGGGGATCTACTTTTGTGGCCATCTGGTAGAAAAAAGGGGAACTGGGTTTTATCATGAATAGTAGGAACAGTGTATCCATAACTTGCCCAGGACACAAAGGGAGAGGTGAGTGCTTTGCTGTGGTTCCAGGACAAATCTCAGACAGTTGACCAACTACAGTCCCCAACACATGCACACAAAGAACAAGACAAAATGCTGACCGTGTAGAACGGGAGGAGGTCTTCCAGAATGCCTCGAGACTCTCAATATTTTGTGGGACTGAATCACATCCCAGAATATTAGACTAGGGACTCAGCTACATTACTCAAAAAACTGTGTTTTGAATGCATTGTAAACAAGCAACATGGTTTTTAAAAGCAGTGGTGGGGTGTCATAGGGCATCTGACACCAGTGTTGAGTGCTCCTGCTTCCAGGTTCCATCCCACCCTCACCTTTGGGAGAGTCCAAAAAGGAAAGAATGAAAAGCCCATGGCAGAGGCACAATTCCATCTTAACCAGCCATACCTGTGGGATTTTGTAGATGCTTGACACAGGTGACATATGTCTAGAAATATCAGGTTCAGCATCTTCAAGAACAGCCAACAGGTTATTCCTCTTCCCACAGTCATAGTTTGGAATGTCTGCATGCCCAGTAGAGAGCAGGTCTAGCAGGGCATCAGAAGTCATCCTTGCATTAGAATAATGGTCATAGATGACATAGCCTAGGGTGACGTTGGGTAAGAGCCTGGGGTCCTGATTGATTTCACGAATGGCAGCCAGGAAGGACAGGACATTCCAGAATTTCCCACGATAGCCACTGGAATGAAAAAGTGCCCTACATTGAATGAAAACAACATTTCTAATTCTTTCTGCATCTAAACTCTCAGCTGTTTCCAGCACAGAAAATAAAAGGAGTCCACCCTGAGATGCTTAACTACCTTCCATTAGCAACCTGTAGGAGAGAGCAAAGGTCCATCAGCCTCACTGACGGTGGACTGACACCATAGTGAAACTGTGACCACAACTTTCACCATCATGAACATTTCATGAGATTGCGTTTCAGCTGTGTTTACAGTCAGCTGCATTATTTACCCCCTTGTAGGTTTGGATTTTTAAATGCCACTTTGCACAATCATAACATTCTCAAACGCAGCATACTCATGTTCAGTCAGGACTTCAGCATCAGCTGCTGCTGCACCTTCAACTGAGAAGCACCTAAGTTCATGGTCCTGGCATATGGGGGCAACTGGAACCTATGAAATCAGAGTGTGCCTCCAGACAGTCAATATTTTGCAGGAGGGATTCCAGCGCATAGCAGAACTTTGTTTTCCTGCAGTTAAAGATTTCTGCTATAGTGCAAGAAAGGCACCTTTTAAAAATGGTTTGCAATTTTGAAAGTTACACAAAAATGCACAGAGAAGTGCAGAATGATTAAATGATTAGGAGGAAGGCGTGTGAACCCCTCTTATGCAAATCTGGGTGGATATTCCAATGAATATTCACTGTTGTATAATCTCCCAGCCCACAAATCACAACAAATGTTCCATTTTTCCACCTTCGCCGCATCAAGCATCAAGTCCATTACCTTTCCCGCCCCGACCTGGCCACAGTGATTCATGCGACGGCCACCTCTAGGCTTGACTACTGTAATTCGCTCTACGCGGGGCTGCCCTTGAAGCTGTTCCAGAAACTCCAGCGGTTGCAGAATGCTTCAGTGGGGCTCCTCACGGGGTCTCTGCCATGGGAGCATATTCACCCAGTGCTTTTCCTTTTCCTTTTTTTTAATAATATTTTTATTCACTTTCCAATACAAAATTATACAGTCCATACATCTTAGTTACATCCCATTTCTCCTTATTGACTTCCCTCAACCCATCTGATATTCCTTCGTTTCCTTACTTTCTCCACATTTCTAAAGTTATAGTTACATTACTATTATTTAATTTACCTTATTTTTAATATTATTCCAACATTTCTTTTCACAGAGCTTCATTAAAACTTACAAACATTATCTGATTATCACTTATTTTTTGTATATACTCTGTAAATTTCTTCCAGTCTTCTGTAAATCTCTGATCTTGTCGATTTCGGATCCTTCCTGTCAGTCTATCGAGTTCTGCATAGTCCATCATTTTCATTCTCCATTCTTCTTTCGTAGGTAGCTCCTCTTGTTTCCATTTCTGGGCCAGCAATATTCTTGCTGCATATAAAAATAACTTCTTTTCTTTCTTATTTATCTCGTTACCTATAATTCCTAGCAAAAACGCTTCTGGTTTCTTAACAAATGTATATTTCAACATTTTCTTCAATTCATTATATATCATTTCCCAAAAGGTTTTAACTTTCTTACACTTCCACCACATATGATAAACCGTCCCTTCCTTTTCTTTACATTTCCAACATTTATTGCTTGTCTTATACATCTTCGCTAATTTCACAGGTGTTATATACCATCAATACATCATTTTCATCACATTTTCTTTTATTGCTGTACATGCAGTAAATCTTAATCCTTCTTTCCATAATTTCCCCCAATCTTCCATTAGTATATTATATCCAAAATCTTTGGCCCAGTCAATCATAACCGATTTCACCTCTTCATCCTTTGTACACCGTTCTAATAGTATCTTATACATTCTTGCCAAGACTTTAATATCATTGTTCAATATTTCTCTCTGGAATTTTGATTCTTTATCAGCAAAACCTCTTTGTATCAAATCTTTTTTAAACATTTCATTGATTTGAAAATAATGCAGCCAATCATTAACATATTCCTTAACTTCTTCAAATGGTCTCATTTTCCATTTACCTTCTACTTTCATTATTAACTTCTCATATGTCACCCATCCCCCCTTCATATTGATTTCCTTCACACTCATCGCCTCCAATGGCGATAGCCAACATGGAGTTTTTAACTCCAACAAATTTTTATACCTCTCCCAAACTTCAATAAGAGCCCTTCGTATGATGTGGTTTTCAAAACCTTTATGTACACGCTTTTTGTCATACCACAAATATGCATGCCACCCAAATCTGTTATCAAAACCTTCCAAGTCTAACAATTCTGTATTTTCTAATTTCATCCATTCCTTCAACCAACAGAGGCACGATGCTTCATAATATAATTTCAAGTCTGGCAGGGCGAAGCCTCCTCTTTCTTTCACATCTGTCAATAACTTAAACTTTATTCTCGGCTTCTTACCCTGCCAGATATACCTTGAAATTTCTCTTTGCCAATTTTTAAAAATTGTTGCCCCTTTGATTACTGGAATTGTTTGAAACAAGAATAACAATTTCGGTAGCACATTCATCTTTATTGTTGCGATTCTTCCGCAAAATGACAATTTCATTCTTCCCCACACCTACAGGTCTCTTTTAATCTTATTCCAAGTTGGAGTATAATTATTCTGAAATAGATCAATACTCTTGGGGGTTAGCCATACTCCTAAGTATTTAACTTTCTTGACCACTTCTATCTCTATTTGTTGCTGCATTTTATCAATTATCTCCTGGTCCATGTTTTTGGTAATTATTTTGGTTTTTTTCTTATTTAGATTGAATCCCGCCACTTGACCAAATGGATCTATTTCTTTCAAAACTTCTGTTACAGTATTTATGGGATTCTCCACAGTTTTACTAAGTCATCAGCAAAGACTTTAACTTTATATTCTTTACAGCCCACTGTTACACCTTTTATTTGATCATTACTTCTTATTGCCCTTAAAAAGACTTCCAGGACCGTGATAAATAACAACGGTGAAAGGGGACATCCTTGTCTTGTACCTTTAGTTATTATTTTATTTTCTGTTGTCACATTGTTAACTATTAATTTTGCTCTTTGATCCATATATATTGCCTTAATACCATTTAAAAACATTTGTCCCATATCCATCATTTCAAATTTTTTTAACATAAATTCCCAAGAAATATTGTCAAAGGCCTTTTCCGCATCCACAAATATTAGCATTGTTTGTTTATCATTCCTGGCAGTCAAATATTCCATAACATTAATTATGTTTCTTATATTATCTTTCATTTGTCTGCCTGGAAGAAAACCTGCTTGATCCTTATGTATTAATTCCTTCAAAACCATTTTCATCCTATTTGCTAATATACTTGTAAACAATTTGTAATCATTATTCAAAAGCGAAATCGGCCTATAATTTTTAACTTGAGAAAGATCAGAATCTTGTTTAGGTATCAAAGTAATATATGCTTCTTTCCAAGTTTCTGGTATTTCCCTATTTGTTAATATATTATTCATTACTTCTTTCAAAGGTACAAGTAGAATGTCCTTCATTTCTTTATAAAATCTTGCACTAAATCCATCCGGTCCTGGTGTCTTTCCACTTTTTAGCTCTTTAATTGCATTTTTTATTTCTTCTATTTCAATCATCTCATTTAATTTGCTTTTTTCCTTCGTCGGAATTTTCTGCATCCCTTTCTCTTTTAAATAGTCTTCTATTTTTTAATATTCCCTTTTTCTTTTCTTTTATATAATTGTCTATAAAAGTCCACAAATCTTTTTCTAATTCCTTTTGGATCATCAATCTCTTTATCTTCTACAATTATTTTTTGTATAGTATTTTGCTCTTTCCTTTTTTTAATCTGCCAAGCTAGTAGTTTTCCCGATTTATTTGCAAACTCAAAGTTCCTTTGTCTCATTCTTTTAATATTCCACTCTACTTCTTTATTTATTATCATAGAAAATTGTGATTGTAGTGCTTTGATATTCAATTTCAATTTTTTATCTTCGGGTCTGGCAATAAGTTTCTTCTCATTCTCCATTATTTGTTTTAAGATTTCTTTTTCCCCTTTTTCTCTAAATTTATTTTTGATTGTATTCTGTTGAATAAAGAAACCTCTCATTACTGCTTTGCCGGCATCCCAAACTGTACTCATTTTTGTTCCTTGATTCATATTATTTATGAAGTAGTCCTTCAGATATTTTTGTGCATCTTCTACAACTTTCTGATCATCAAAGAGATTTTCATTTATTCTCCACCGGAAAGATTTTTCCTCAAATCCTTTTAATATACATTTTATAGCATTATGGTCCGAAAGTACCTTAGGTTGGATTTCTATCTTTGAAATTCTTGGTGTGAGTTCATTGGTTATCCATATTTGATAAATTCTGGACATTGATAGATTTGCCTCTGAATGGTAGGTAAACTGTTTTTCTAATGGGTGTCTCAATCTCCAAATATCAATTAAGTTGCAGTTCTCAACCATTGAAAAAAAAGTTTTTGGTAATTTTCCTTCTTTTGTTTCCCCTGTTGCTCTTAATCTATCCATTTCCATTGACACAACTGCATTCATATCACCCATTATTATGATCCTTTGGTCCAAATATTCAAATAGTCTTTCCTCCAAATCCTTAAAAAAGTCCATTTTATTTTCATTAGGTGCATAAACTCCGACAATTATTATTTTTTCGCCTTGCCATTTGACTTGTACTGCCACAATTCTGCCTTCTTCATCTTTAAAAATTTGTTGAGCCTCTGATTTATTTGTGATATATATAATACCATCCCTCTCTTCTTGCTTTTATCCGATGAGATAAATTCATTTCCTAACTTTTTATTCATTAAAAATACAGCTTAAACAGGAGCTTCAAAAGCCATTACGCAGTTCTTTTAAAATCGAAAGTAAACCACAGTCCAAAGATCCTTTCTCGGCATTTCAACCATCGACAAAACAAAGGAAGAATTATATCCTCTATCCCCTCAGTCCTCTTTCTCCTCAATGTCTTACTCCTTGTAAAAAGTCAATTTAAAAATAAATAAATAAATAAATAATCCACAAAAGAGATAGATCCAATTGCCGAAACAGTCCCCGTTTGTTTTTACTCACTGTTCCGTTCCGCTCTGAGAGTAGTCCTTGTGTATTCTTAGGAATTCAGACAAGGTTGACCTCCTGTTTGTCCCTTGTCTGTGTCGAATTAGATCCAAATAGTTATAATTTAGTCTTTTTTAAAGTTTCCAATCAGATTTCTTTTTTTCCGGAAAGCCGATCGCTCCAGTGTACAAGCTTGGGGCTTCGCTCCAAGAGGCTAGCAATGGCATCCCGCTACCAGTCTTTCTACCCCGCCGCTCTCGTCTCCTCTAAAAGGAGGATACCTGGCGGCCGGGGGAATCGCTCATCGGCAGTGCCGGGATCCTGACCCCTGAATCTCCTTTCAGTGGGGTTTGGGGGGGCTCCGAGGGAAAACCCGCTTGCTTCCACTTCGCGATCAGACCGGAGGTCCCACCCAGTGCTTTTCCAGCTGTACTGGCTCCCGGTGGAGTACATGGTCAGATTTAAGGTGCTCGTTTTGACCATTAAAGACCTTCACAGCTTAGGACTCACGTACCTACAGGACCGCCTCTCCCGGTATGGCCCATGGAGGACCTTAGGGTCCATAAATAGCAACACCCTAGAGGTCCTGGGCCCTAAGGAAGTTAGATTAGGCTCAACCAGAGCCAGGGTCGTTTTTTCAACACTGGCTCCAGCCTGGTGGAACGCTCTGTCTCATGAGACCAGGGCCCTGCAGGATCTGATTTCTTTCTGCAGGGCGTGTAAGACAGAGTTGTTCTGCCTGGCCTTTGGCTTTGAGTCAATTTGATTCCTTCCCCATCTTTCTTTTTCCTTTCTCCTGTGATGAGGCTGCATTTTAACGTTTTAATGTTGTATTTTAATCTTGTTTTTAAGTTGTATTCCTTCAACTTGTTTTTATTACTGCTTGTTAGCTGCCCTGAGCCCGGCCTTGGCTAGGGAGGGCAGGGTATAAATAAAATAATGTATTATTATTACTAATATTATTATAGAGCACCACATAATCAAGTAAATCAGGATGAATGCTGAATCAGCAGGGTGTCTGGAAAAGCCTTGAATCAGGTGGAGAGCATTATTTTTTGGTTGACTGATTCATTGACTGACTCAGAAGCAGGATGTCACCTCACATTCCTCTCAAAAATGGGGTCCATTTTAATGGACTCAGAGGAGAACTTTGGACAAATCCCTTGAGTTTTCATGAGAAGTAAAGGAAAGGGGAAGGGGGAAGAGTGATTTTGTGATACAGGTGGAAAGTTCTCCTCTCCCTTTGGTAACGTCACAGATAAGAATTAACAAGCAGTTGATCTATTTCTGGTCCTTTTATTACAGCATCATGTTGCAAGCAGAAATACACAGCTCTTTGCAAGGAGGGTAGTTGGCTGCTCTAAATCCTCCTTCCGACTTCCGTAGCATTTTAGGTGCCAATGGGAAATTTCTCCCTCCCTCTGACTTATTTGCTCTCTGATATGTTCAGACCTCCGAGTCTGTGGTGAGGGGGATTCCCCACACTCTCAAGTGACATCTCAACTACCTACCCTCTCCCTTCGGGTTCCCTTGTCATTATCTCATACCTGGGCAACTCCACCCTCAGCTGTTCAGCTTCTGTCTCTCTCTCTGCTTCTGAACACGCTGTGGACTGTCGGACTTGCATTCGACTGAGCGAATCTTCCGGTCGAGTCTGTGATTAATGACCTGAGCCTTTGAGGAGGCTCCAAGCACGTTTCCACATTATGCAGAGTGAACAAGGGTGTGTGTGTGTGACTTTTTCCCCTCCATCTCTCCATCGGTGAGGAAACTGGTCTGCCATAGAATGCATTTCCCTTTCCTCTTCTTTAGACTACAGTAGTGCCTCGCAAGACGAAATTAATCCGTTCCGCGAGTGTCTTCGTCTAGCGGTTTTTTCGTCTTGCGAAGCAACCCTATTAGCGGCTTAACGGATTAGCGCTATTAGCGGTTTAGCGGCTATTAAAGGCTTAAAGGCTTAGCGGATTAGCTGCTAAAAGGCTATTAAAGGCTTAGCGGCTTAGAAAAGGGGGGGGGGGAGCGGAAAAAAATCTCAAGACTCGCAAGACATTTTCGTCTTGCGAAGCAAGCCCATAGGGAAATTCGTCCTGCGAAGCAACTCAAAAACGGAAAACCCTTTCGTCTAGCGGGTTTTCCGTCTTGCGAGGCATTCGTCTTGCGGGGCACCACTGTATTCCCTGACATGTTGTGATCATTTGGGTTGCCCTTTTTTAAATTTTGATGCTGTCAATCATGGTATCCTCCTGAACTGACTTAGTGAGATGGGTGTCAGAGGCACCATATTACAGTGGTTCTGTCCATATCTTCAATGTCATGTCCAGAAAGTAGCCCTCGATGACTGCTCTTCACCCCCACCCCAGCATTTGTGCTATGGAGTTCTGCAAGGTACTATTCTCTCCCCAGCACTATTTAAGATCTATACGCTATATAAAATCTATATGAAGTTATGGGGTGCGGTCCTGAGGAGTTTTGGAGCAAGGGGCCACCAGTATGCCGATAACACACAGCTCTAGGGACATGGGTGGCACTGTGATCTACTGAGCTTCTTGGGCTTGCTGGTTGGAAGGTTGGCGGTTCGAATCCGTGCGACAGTGGCAAGCTCCCATTGCTCTGTCCCAGCTCCTGCCAACCTAACAGTTTGATATATATATTTTTTTAAAAAAATATTTTATTTTAAAACATAAACATACAACAAAAAGCAATACAAGATTCAAATGCCGAAATTACGCTGAATCTCCTGACTTCCCTCCAACCCTTCTATGGGTCCTAGTGGTAATATTTACACCTGAATATCAAAACTGTCCAAATTTTGTCTTTCCAAATTGTCCATACTTTCCATTAATTTACAAGTGTGGTTAAACTCCTGCTAATGTTTTAACCTGCTTACAATGGTCTTGCTTTCTGAGCTCCCCAGTTCATTTTGCCATTTCAGCATAGTCCATCAACTTGGTTTGCCATTCTTCTCTGGTCAGGGTTGTTTCCTCCTTCCATCTCTGGGCTAGTAGCATCCGTGCGGCTGTTGTCGCATACATAAACAATCTTTTCTGGTCCTTTGGTATCTCGGTACCTGTAATTCCTAATAAGAAGGCTTCTGGTTTTTTAAACAAAAGTTGTTTTAAACATTTTTTCCAATTCTTTATATATCATCTCCCAGAAATTTTTAGTTACTTTACACATCCACCACATATGATAAAAGGTACCTTCTCTTTCTTTACACTTCCAGCAGGTATTTGAACTCGTTCTATTTGGAGCCAAATACCACCAGTGCATCATTTTCATATAATTTTATGTCAATGAACAATGTGCCATAAGTTTCAAATCTGTTTTCCATAACCTCTCCCAATCTGCCATTTGTATATTGTGTCCCAAGTCCCAAGCTCTGGCTTCCATCACGGTGTCCCGTTGCGCCTGAAGCGGTTTAGTCATGTTGGCCACATGACCCGGAAAGTTGTCTGTGGATAAACACCTGATCCCTCAGCCTGATAGCGAGATGAGCACCACTCCCCATAGTCGCATTTGATGAGACTGAACCATCCAGGGGTCTTTACACCTTTACACTAACATTAACACACAGCTCTCCTTCTCCATAACAGGAGAATCTGTGAAGGCTTGTGACCAGTGTCTGGATGCAGCAGTGGACTCCATAAGGTCCAATAAACTGTGTTCAAATCCTGGAAAGTCCACTTACCTTTAATGGTCAGGCGGCGTTGCGCCCAACCAAGTCCACGCCCGCAATTTGGTGCCCTGCTGGGGAGGGTTGCTGCCTGCCCGCGGATTGACCAATTGTGCCAGGCTTAGGTGCAGGCATTCCGCAGGGGGTGGACCCAAACAGCCAATAGGCATTGCTTGGCCCCGCTCCCTGGGGGGATAACTTGGGGCCTGCCCAGGCCTCCTCCCCAGGTTATTGTTGGATCTCCCACCCTCCACCCCCTTTTTCATATGTCTTATTCTCATACTAAGACCTTCCTATGAACATTGTCAGCCGCCATATTTGGGGCCTGGTGTCGGAACTCTGCAGGACCGAGCTACTCCTCCTCGGACGTTCTTCGTCATCTCCTCCAATGGAGATTAACGACCTAAGCCTTTGATGAGGCTCCAGGCACATTCCCATTCTGCAGAGTATACAAACATCAGCAGAAGGGTGAGAAATATATGAGCTACACTGCTATGTTTTATTTCTAACTACGCAGGACAGAAAAGAATACACATCTGCTCTCTGTGAAGGCAGAGAACCAACTGGAACAAAGAAAAAGGAAATGAGTAATAACAACATCCGTCTCCCATGAGACTTCCAACAGTCTAGAATGTAAACAGAGTCTTGTGATTCCAAAAACTGCACAGTGGCGTAAACAGAAATCTAACACCTGGCAGGAATTTTTCCATTTGGCAACTTGGCCCTGGCCATTTGATTTTCACCTTCCTCATAGCAATCCTCACATCTTTGTGAGGTTAGGCGTTGGGTAAGCCTTAGTCTTGGCTGGAGGGGAGGTTACAGCCTTTGTCCACCCCTTCTTGGTTAAGGGTATCCTGTCAAAGGGATCTGTGAGGAGTTGCTTCTGTCTGGATGCCCAGGTGGGGGCTAGGGCCGTAGCACTCCTCCAACAGGGACCCCTTGGTGGTTACCCCTACTTGATGTAGGTCATGGGGGGCAGATGTGGATTACCCTTAGAATCACCCCCAGCAGGTGGACTGGGGTGGAATAAATGGCTATACGCAATGCCGATGCCAAACCATTCACATCTGTAATCAATAGAGTTGTGGCTCATTTGGACCCAATGTTATGCTGTTGTCTTGTCTGGTTTGTCATCACTTAGGGAGTGACAGGAACACAGGAGCTTGGCATTCAATTTGTAGGCTCTTTGGATGATTCCCATTGGGGGTACTCTTGGCTACACCTTTATCACTAGTGACCCACGTGTCCTCTATGGCTGTTTGTGACCACTGGAGTAATGGAAAACTTGGAGCTGGACTACTGCAATGCACTCTTTCTGGGGCTGCCCTTGGGTCTGGTGCAGAATCTCTAGTTGGTGCCAAATGATGTAGCCAGATTGTCCTTGCAAGATTTTGGTCAAGAACATCTGGCACCACACACCCCCATTTGGAGGAACTATCCACTTAAACCTATTTTCTGCTTCCTGCAATTTCCATTCCTGATCCACCAGAGGACCTGATCCACCAGAGGTGTACTCTTGGATACACCTTTGCGGGGGGAGGATTCTGCCAGGACTATCATACGTGATAGTTCAGAGAACTTCTAACTCTTAATTTTGGTATTTTCCACCAATCTTTGGCATTTGCATCTCACAGTTTGGAGGCAGAGCTTGGAGTTTTCAAAAACATGTTTTTCTTCAGCCCTGCAGTTGCAGGTGGAGCTGCATAAAGAGGATAGGAACTTGCAGAGGTGGTACTACTTCTCCATATAATTATCAAAATGATAGTGTGTGTTGTTGTTTTGCTTCCAAAGATCACATTTGAGTCCACTAAATATGATGTTATGGATCTGAGGCAGAAAGGTCTGGCAGATATATGCCTCCTGAGCCACCCAAAACTTGGGGGGGGGGGGCTGAGATTTAGGACAGATGATAACTGCACCAGAATGAGGTTGGCTTGACTTCTCTCCACTTCAGATATGACCCCTCTGCAGGGCTCCGTTAGTAAGAAGAAAGTTACTGCATCTTGCAAGGACCACAACAAAAGACTTCTTTGTAAGGGAGCAATCATAAAGGAAGTGCTCGTTCCTGGGAGGAAAAAGATGGTCCTCATTCTACTGCTTCTACTGCCGTATGGGGACTGTGGGAAACTGAAGAGAAAATGCCTCTTATCTTTGGAAAGGGATAAGATAGATTCACCTAATTATTTCAGGCCAGGAGACCACCTCATCAGTGGGGTCATCTCTGCCACAAACACTATGTTTCATCCTCATATCTTTAGCCAATGTCCTTCCACC